GCAACAGAAAAAAAAAAAAAAAAAAAAAAATACATCATAGTAAAATTAATACCTTCTCAGCTTCGCATCGAAGCTAAAATTTGTCCTAACAACCTATCTTCTATGCGCAAATGGCTACCGTATTCAAAAATATTTTTGTGTTAAAATCCTGGGTTTTGTATTTTATTTTATTTTAAAATATGTTATAAGGGCAATACACTGACTTTAATGAATATTTCATAATTTAATTGACATAGAATAAAGTTCATAAGACATAAGAAATTAAACTTATTACAATTTTTTTACTTTTTTAAAGTCGAAAAAGTAATTTTCAAATTTGAATTAGCTTAAATTGCTAATTTTATCATGCGAAGAAAATAACGAACAGTTGCCAAATCGGTAACAATTGTATCTTTCACGCATAGAGTATGAGGTTCGAAATCGTCTGTGGCAATTAAAATTTTGTATTTTTTTGAGTTAGAAAAAAAAGTGGTAACAGACACACACAAAAATAAAAACACATTATGGTAAAATTAATACCTTCTCAGCGTCGCATCGAAGCTAAAAGTTTCCTAGGACAACACATTGACATGTGACTATCGAAAAATTTCGTAAATACAAACTTAATGGATTTCTTTTAACGAAATTAACGAATAAATTTATATTCGTTAAATGATTCATCTTAATAAAAAAAAAACATTCTTATCTTGCAACTCTTGTATGATTATAATAATCATACAAGAGTTCATATAAAGTATGACAATATAATATTGTCATACTTTATATGAACCAACCTAGAAAGTGTCAAATTGCAAAGTCAACAATAGCTATACGATGTACATAATTCATTGATTCAATGGAGGAAGGTCATTAAAAGTTACACCAAACTTTTTGCCAGCAAATACGATTAAATGATTTTTGCTAACTAAACATATTTCTCCGGCCACAATTTGTTAAGAAGTGCGCATTTGTCTTAAGATACTTATAACAATTAACATCACTTCTAGTATTTGTTTAACCTAAAAAAATGTTTATAATTGGCTAATTAGTAAGTGTTTTGTTTTTTTTGTGACCTTATCAATTCAATTAATGAATTTTTAATATAAAAGAAGCGTATTTATAACCATCTCCAACATTTTTTTTTTAATAGGCTTTGTAACGTCGTATTAATAACAAAGCACATAAGTCAAATTTTAAAAATAAAGAATGATCTATTTAACGTAAAATCGGCTTTTGAAATACTTAATTATCTTAAAAAATCACTTAAAATATGAGTTAATGTTCAAAAAATAGTTGTATAATTTCTACTTGCATAATTTTTCCATTAAGATGTCAATTGGCACATTATAACAAAATATTTGAGGGTCTAACTTCAATTCTCCCCTCCTTAAAAAATTTTTTATATATATTGACACGTAATTATCATAATTTTTGGGCATCGGCTACGGTATTAGTAATTGTTCCCTTCCAGACCACCAGATTACGCATATATGTCGCATATATATTGTGACTATGGTAAAATTATTTTACCATCTTATAAATTCAAATTAAATGTTTGTAATTAATTTAATAGATTTTATCTCTTTTTAGTTCCATTTGGAATTCGTCGTTTAAATGATGCAGTATTCTCAAATCCTCTAGGAACAAAACAATGTAAAGTTTCCGGAGTGTATTATAATCACAGTCAAAAGGTATAGTATAATAAGTTAATATTTAAAATATTTGTTTTCTATAAGATGGTATTTGTGGAAAAATAAAATGCAAATCTTTATTTATATTTCATTGTATTATGCACTTCGAAAAAACATTAGGGTAGGCTATAAATCAAAGTAAAATTGATAAATTGTTGTTTTTATTCATTTATTTTATGCATCTTTCATACTAGTAAAAATTTTTCTAGTAATACCAAACCTAAACAAATATTTGACCCTATTTAATATTAAAATCGGTTGAAAAAAGTCACTACACACTAAAAAGAAAAGCTGAAGTCTATTTTATAGACAATGTATTATACAGAGTTATTGTTTAGCTATGACTCAAGCGGTATTTTTAAAAATATAAAACATTATATAATTTTTTCTTTTCAGAAGATAAAAATATACTCAGTTCTATAATTTTCGGAAAATAATTTGGTATTTTTCCTAATTTATTGCGTAAGTTTTAGATGAACATTCATTCTGTATAAAATTATATAGTCTATTTAAAATTTGTTAAAGTAAATGGTCTATTCTTTTTAATTTACATTACTCGTATTACTACTATTATTTTCAATAAAGAATCTTATTAAATTTTACTTCTGTTATGATATATTCCATAATTTTTATGAATAATAAAATTGTTTTTAACAAAATAAATTACCAATAATTAATTTTGCAGATATTATTTACTGATCGCTGTAAAACGTGTTTATGTATTGATGGGCAAATATTTTGCTACTGGCAGTGCGATGAAACTACGACGGAAGTAATTAACGATGTATTAGCAGTAGAAGTCCAGTTCTCATCACCAGCTACAAGTAATAAAAAATAATTACCATAACACTTTATTTTATTTTCGTTTCTAATGTTCAACTTTTTTTAATTAATATATTTTGTTTTTGTGAGTTCAAAAACACAATATATACATTAGTATCTTAATAAATTCTATATCTGTAAATCAAATATTAATTATAAAAAAAAACCAGCACAAGGGGGGTCGCGGCACAGTAGGGACATGGCATAGTTGAGTCAAGTATAATGATAACTAATAGTGATTAAAATCACTATCATAAAAAACGCTTCGATGCAAATCTGTAGATAGTGTTTAATTTTAAAAAATTGGTGGATTATTCCAAAAGCTACATGATTTCCTATTTCCTTGTTTATATCCTGATTACAAGTTTTATGGTTTGTAAGTGTAATATATGAATAAATAAATATTAAATGGATAATGGTTTTATTTAAAAAATAAGTATATCAAATGAAAGAGGTATATAAATAGTATTTATCATTAAAAATTTGTATTGATCCCTATATTATTCAAAAATTTATAGCATTTAAAATTAAAAATATAAAAAAGAATTTTTTTACAAAAGTCTTATTTTTTTATGAACTTTGATGTTAGTTTTCACCATGAAAACAAACTAAAATCTGAAATTTTTTTTTTCATATTAAAGTATATGAGTTGTATAGTTTCAAAACCAGCTATAAGTTAATTTTTTTTAAACGATTTTTTTTGTATTTTCTAAATGGTAAAACTGTACTAAATGTCCTGTAAAAATATTGTACTTAAAAACAGGCTATACCTTGTTTAAATTAATCATGGAAAAATATGGTTGGTTTCAAAATCATCCATCTAACAATGTCAATTTCAAAACAAGCCATAATTAATTATATGTTTTTTTCGCAGTAAAATAATAATTGATAAAATATTTATATACTTCTTTCATTCGACATACTTTTTATAAAAATAAAATAATTTCCCTTAATACAGGGGGGGTTCAAAACTTAAAAATATATATAGAAAGTAGAACTTTTGCAACTTCATTTTTGTAATGTGCTCCGGAAATACTAACACTTTTATATATGTCTTAAATTAAAGCTAATGTAATATGAGGCGTATAGTTTCAAAACCAGCTAAAACCATTTTTAGAAATTTTTCAGGAACAACAAAATAACATAATGAGGTTAAGATATATCTCAAAGATTTTATAATATATATGATATTAAAGCTTGAGAGTGTAAACACATTGTGTGTGAATATTTATTAGTTCTAATATTATATTATTGTTAATATTATTAATTCTATCCATCTTATCCTCAATAATATTTTATGTGAAGAGCAACATAGATTTCGTTCAGGTCGTTCAACAGTCACTTATAATCTCATTCTCTCATCCTACATATATGATTCCTTCAGTCAGCAAAGTCAAGAAGATGTCATTTACATGGACTTGTCGAAGGCATTCGATAAAGTAGATTACAGGATTCTAATTCAAACTCTGTATAATCTAGGTATTGGTAATCCTCTATTGTCTTGGGTTCACTCTTATTTATTTGATTGTCAATATTTTGTTTCAACTTCCCATTCGACCTCCGATACCTTCTATACATATTCTGGAGTACCCTAAGGTGCAATTCTTTCTCCTCTTCTGTTTGATATTTTCATCAATTCCGCACTATCAGTCCTCCGTTATTCTAAATTACTGATATTTGCTAACGACATGAAACTTTTCCTCCGTATCAATTCCTATCTGACTGCCACCTACTACAAGAAGATCTATTGCGGTTTACTGACTGCAGTGAATCCCTTGGCCTCTCTCTTAATAATAATAAATGCTCAATCATGTCATTCTTCTGTTGTAATTTTCACATTGTGTTTCCTTATTCTATTAATAACATTCCTTTAATTCGTTACTCTGAGTCAATACATGATCTTGGGTTTATTCTCACACACAATCTTTCTCCAAACAAGCACATCCAACATATCTCCTGTAAAGCCCTCAAACTCCTTGGTTTCATCTCCCGTATTATTCAAGAAATTAAATTATCCAACCCTTTTAAAACTCCCTACACCTCCCTTGTTCACCCCATCCTAGAATGTGGCTCTGTTCTTTGGGATCCCCAAACAGCTTGTGCAAGGGAATCACTATAAAGGGTTCAAAGAAAATTTTTTAACCTGGCAGCATTCCGCCTTAATATCCCTCACACTCCTCATGATTACTCTCCTGTCATATTTACCCTACATTTCTCCAACCATACCGATTGACGCCACAATTCGAACCTCTCCTTCCTATATAACCTCCTATCCAACAAAATAAAATTTATCCAACTTCTTAGCCTTCTAAAATTTAAAATCCCTCTTCTCCCCACCCATTCTAACACTACATTCTTCATACCCCCTACCCATCTCATTTCCTTGATTCCGCCTCAATGATTCGCCTTATGCGGTTGGCTAATAATGATTCAGCTTTCGAATTATTTTAATTTCGTTTATGTTGTTTTAATTTATATTTTGGATCAATGTATATATAAATTTAATTTTGTTAATTGTTTCTCACTAATTTTTATTAATGATGTTTATGATGACTGTTATTTATTTATTTATAAATTTAACGGGCATAGCCCTTTTTTACAATTTAGATTAATAACAATTTAAACATACATAACATAAGTGAGTAATTCACAGCGATTCAACAGAACATAAATAACATTACGGAGTAATTCACAGTGATTCAACAGAAATATATGAATATAAATATATAAAAATACAAGCTGCTATGAGGTACAAAAATAAGAAAAATAACAAAAATACAAAAATAAGGTGGTTAACAAGATAACATAAGTGGGTCCATATTGGCACTATTTAAAATTCTTCTAATGGGCTCATTTTGTAAGTAATTGGTAGAACAAATAGGGATAAAAAAAGGAAAATAGGAACGAGAATTTCTCTGAGGAACTTTAAAATTTATTAAATTCAGAAGACNCTGAGGAACTTTAAAATTTATTAAATTTAGAAGATATGGTGAATCAATATTTCCATTCAGCAATTCATTTAGAAATTTAATGCCTGCAGCAACTCTACGATCAGTCAGTGACGATAAATTAAGGTTGTTTGCAACTGGAGAATAATCATGAGGTTCATGTTGGATACCCAATATAAATCCAGTATGCCGCAAAAATCTCCGTTGTACCCTTTCAATTTGGGTGGCATCAGATAAGGAATGAGGGTTCCAAACAATAGAACCATATTCTAAAATTGGCCGAACCAATGAAGAATATAATATTTTTAGTGAAGAATGTAGTTTTAAGTTAGCAGCTAATCTTATTATAAAGCCGAGCTTTTTCAACGCTTTACAGCACACCATTTCTATGTGACACTTAGGATCCAATGTTTTACTAAATTTAAAACCAAGGTCAAGTACAAAATCATTAATTCTTACAACATTAGCACCGCAAAGACTATAAGAAAAAATAATAGGTGACCGAGATCTAGTGAATGTCATAACACGACATTTTTCAAAGTTAAGGGTTAAACCTATGTTTAAGCACCATAATGTAAATTTATCTAGGTCATTCTGTAGCATAATACAGTCATCAGTAGAACTTACTTGCAAGAACAACTTCATGTCGTCAGCAAAGCACAAAAATTTACAGTTTAATAATACATTTTTTATACTATTTACAAATAATGAAAATAACAACGGAGACAAGTGTCCACCTTGTGGTACCCCAGAGGAAGCTAAAAATAGTTTAGATTGTGTCCCAAACAATTTCACCCATTGATATCTTTCTTTTAAATAGGAGTCAAACCATGTCGAAAGAGGCTCCCCAAAGCCATTTAATTTAAGTATATTAAGAAGAACTTCATGATTAACAGAATCAAATGCCTTTTTGAAATCTGTGTAAAGCACATCAACCTGGGAGCCTTGTTCAAAAGCATTTAAAACAAAATTACAAAAAACCAAGTTGCAAGTGGTAGTTGAGCGCCCAGGACTAAAGCCATGCTGTTCCTCTAAAATTATATGTTTTAATGAAGGACGAATTACATTAAGGACGAGCTTTTCAAAAATTTTTGAAATGTGAGACTGAACAGAAATAGGTCTATAATCAGACACAGAAGCAGAGTTAGTGGTTTTGGGAATTGGTGTTATAGAACTTAATTTAAAAATAGACGGATAAATGCCTTCATGTAAGGATTTACTGAAAACTAGCCAAAGAGGAAAAGCAATATATGACCTCAACTGGAAGAGCAACTCACCACATAGTCCATCCGGACCAACAGACCAATTCCTCTTTAAGTAACAAAGCTCCTGGTGAACATCATAAATACTTAGACTTACCGAACTTGGTAAGTCATACTGTAAAATACCTAGTTGTTTCCTCATTTCCTTGATTCCGCCTCAATGATTCGCCTTATGCGGTTGGCTAATAATGATTCAGCTTTCGAATTATTTTAATTTCGTTTATGTTGTTTTAATTTATATTTTGGATCAATGTATATATAAATTTAATTTTGTTAATTGTTTCTCACTAATTTTTATTAATGATGTTTATGATGACTGTTATATATATTTTTGGACTTTGCCTGTATAAAATGTTATAAATAAATAAAATAAAATATTATTTTTCATAATAAAATTGTATTTTTCAAAAAGTTATAGCATTATTAAGTTAAAAATATAAAATTGAGAATTTTAACACAAAAGTAGCATACGGTAGCCATTTTTACCGTGAAGACAAAATAAAGTCCAAAATTTGTTTTTTTTCCACAATAAAGTATATTACATAAGCTTAAATTTAAGGTATATATAATAATGTCATTATTTCCGGACACACTTTCAAAAGTTAAGCTGAAAAAGTAGTAATTTCGAATCCCCCCTTATAAGCAGGTAAAAGGTCAGATTTATAAAAAAATATATAAAAATGATAGGTAAGTACCCCACGTATCTATATAAATAAAAATTATATTGCTTTGGTTATTTTTGAAAAAGTTATGGCAGTTTTAAATAAAAAAAAATGGAAAAAATGTCAATAATTAGCGATTTTTAAATTTGTAATTTTTTTGAAGATTTTCCCATTTACGGGGAACGATGGAAATTTTTCAATTTTTAAGGGTAATGTCTTTGACTAATACGATTTATGATCATTTGACGTATCGTTGAAAGAAATCGATTCGATGAGAGCTGAAAAGTGGTAATGGACACAAAAAAAAAGAAAAAACACATCATAGTAAAATTAATACCTTCTCAGCTTTGCATTGTGCTAAAATATATTAAATGATTAAGAAAAAAACATTTTTTTAACATTTATATTGTATTAAATTAATGTTTATTATTAGTTTAAAATCGTTTAAAATAATTAATGAATATTATAACACGTTTATGATTATTTTACTATTCCGAAAAAAGTTTTATATAAAAGTTGTATACAGGCTTGTCAACTACTATTGTGGAGTCTGAAGAAAATCCTACTTCTACTATATCTGGATTATTTAGTACAATGAATAGCCCTCAACGGAAGAAAATAATTTCAAACCTTTCAAATAAAACAACGAATGAACAATTTTGTGTAGTTATGGGTACATAAAAAATAATAGCAATTTTACTAGTTATGTAATTTATAAATTCATACAGTTATATCAACTTTTTGTAGGTGTCAAGTATAAATTAGGCAGTGTTCTTCCTAGGGATACTGGTTCATGTTTGGAATGCCAATGTGGACAAAATTCTCAAATAACGTGCAGTCCTAAAGATTGTATTACTTTAAACACTTTAAATGATGAAAACACTTCCGAACCAGAATTTTATGGCAACAGAAATGATGAACAAAATAACGAAAATTTTAATTTGGATATGTTTGCCGTTAACATCGTGTAAACTATATACACACATAAATAATTAAGACATGAATATTATACACTTAGACAGAAATAAAATATAATTAATGACTGAATACACATATTATTATTGAAATTGCTATCATTAGAACTACATCTATTGAGAATAATTAAATAATAAATACAATTATAATTAAATTATATATATTAGGGTGGCTCTTATTTTATAAACTTTCATTGATCGATCTCCATACCCGTCAATTTTTTTCGTTATTATATGTAAGTCATTCGGGTAAAGTTTAGTTTTGATAACTTACTCCCTTCAGGTGCCGAATTAGGGTTGAAAATTCACTCAGAAGGGTAATTTTTTTAGTTTTTAACATTATTTCTAAAACTAACACACTTAGCGTAAAAATGTATAAAACATAAATTGTATATTTTAATATTTTAGTATTTTCTTTAAAAAAAGTATTTATAAAATTAAGTTTTTTTTATCACATATTTTTTCGAATGATGCAGTTTTATTTAAAAATTTTTATTTTTTTATTTTGCTCAATGGTTAAGCGAGAATCTCTAATTGAAAAAACAACACATTCATTGCTAAAATAACATAAGTGTTTTATAAATTTTTTTATAGCAATTTCAGCTATCTGCTTATCAACTATTTTACTGGATCTTCAATTAAATTAGGTGCAGTGAACCAGATTTGAGACTAAAATTTAATGACAAAACAGATTATTTATAAAGCCATTTCTTCCGTTGGAGTCATTTAAACGGTTTTTTAAATAGTAAAATTTTAATGATTAAATATCTTTTTTCGTCCAACGTGATAAGTGATGTGCTTTAGGCTGATAAAATGTTATAGTCTTGCTATATTATCATAATCTTCAGAAATTCTCTATAGTCATTGCAAGAAAATAGTTTTGTACTTTTTTTTCAGAGAATTGTAGTATTTTTTGTCTATAATTTTTTAATATATTTAAAATTGTATCATTAGTCCAAATGATGAAATATTCAGTTTTATTTATTTTTTATCAGTCATTAACAAATCTCTTAAAAAGTGATATGTCTGGATCAGACCACGGAACAAATTTTGCTTCAACAAAAACGGCATGAAGTATTATTTTAAAAATATGATGTTTGCATGCTAAGATCAGTATATTTCTTTCTAACTTTTGATTCAATAATGCACAAGCACAATTTAATCGACCAGAGTTATACGTTGTCGTGTCAATTAAAAAGTCTTGAACTTTATTTAATAATGCCAACTCTTCTAATTCACATATTTGTTTTCCAACTAATGTGGGTAAAATTTTAGAAACCCAATGCACTATAGCAAGTTCTATGTTAAGTTCAAAAAAACTATCACAACATATAATTGTAAATGATAAAATATGCTTATTACACAGCACTTACCATATCAGGCATAAATAGTTAACGATTAGAGATAAAAGTTAAAAGTCTCCGAGTATAAATTTATACTCGGTTGCAACACACGGTTAACCATTTGTTAATTGACAAATTATATATTTATGCAAAAAATAGTAAAATATGTAAAATTATTTAAATCAAAATAACATTAAAATGATATCGTATATAATTTATATAAATTTCGTGATAACAGCTAAACTATAAATCTGAATAAAATTTTATGTAAGACTAATGTTTTAGAAAATTTAATTTTACATATTTTTTATACGAAACTTTTTGTTGTAAAGTAATTATTTCGAAAGTTAAGAACGATTTATGTTCAAAAAGTGAATTTTAGCAAAATGTTTATTCATTTTTTTGAACAAGTATAAATAATTTTAGAAAAATTTTATAAATACTTTTTTTAAAGAAAATATTAAAATATACAATTTATGTTTTATACATTTTTACGCTAAGTGTGTTAGTTTTAGAAATAATGTTAAAAACTAAAAAATTACCCTTCTGAGTGAATTTCCAACCCTAATTCGGCACCTGAAGGGAGTAAGTTATCAAAACTAAACTTTACCCGAATGACTTACATATAATAACGAAAAAAATTGACGGGTATGGAGATCGATCAATGAAAGTTTATAAAATAGTCATCCTAAAATATATAGTAATATTAAGTAAGTATATATACAATATATACTTTAATGTTACAATAAATTATCGTACAATTTTTTTTTAATTTCTTTAGATTAATATAATATTATATTTTATGTAAACATTATATTATTATTATTTTCCATAAATTAAACTTTATCCATAAGGCATAAAACAAATTATTTTTTTTCGCATGTATTGTAGTAATTATTTTAAAATAAACAACTGTACTATAGTACAGATCATAATATTATGTACTCGTATAAGTAATATTTGATAAAAAGCTAAAAGCTTAAGTGTAACAAGACTTTTTTAATAGCTAGAAATATCAATATTAAGTTTGATTACTAATTACATTCCCTAAAATGAACCTTAGCGTGATATCAATACATCTCTAATTTACATAATTACAAACACACGCTATTTTGTCACATTGATATTTTTTTATCCATTACTTAGATTCATGATTTTAAAATTCCAACTATTTTTAACTTTCATAGTTAAAATAAATTAAATATATCGTATGTATACGTACATATCTTTATAAACAATAATAATATAACTTTTAGTTTTAAATGAAGATATGCTGATAAAATAAATTTTTTATAAAATTCAAGATGACAATTTAGCATAATTTATTTTATTAGGCAAAAAAATTGCTCATAGTATTTCTCAAATCAAGTAATAAAGGGTAGCTTAGTTATGTTTTAATTATTTGGGTATCTGTAAAAAATGAATCAAAGATTTCTATACGACTGTAGATATAATACTATTTATATGCATATTAATTTTACACACAGTAGTGTAAATTTGACATAAAATATCTAATATACGTACACAAATTTTTGTTACTATTTATCAAAATTTTCTCTTGGATACTAGCAACGCGAAATAAAAACGTTTTGTATTCCTTAGGGCTTCACCAATCCAAAAATACTCCAAAAGTAGTTCAAAATTCTTCACTCCCAACAGACATGAAGCACTTAATCAAAATAATATTGATGAAAAAATGATAGTTGACAGTGACAAATCCTAACTTCAACGCTTTCTATATTTATAACTACACTTATCAACTATAATAAATTTTGTATTAAAATTAAAAGTATAAACGGAGAAGATGACTTTTCTATCTTCATCATCTAAAAACTATTAACCAATCATGCGTCTTATTACCATCAAGTAATTAAATTATTAAATGTCAATTAAGTTGAGTACTAAATTTACCAAATTAAAGAAGAAAAACCATATAGACTTGTAATTAAAAATCTACACCATACTATAACAATAGCATTTATTAAATATGAACTTATCTCAAAGGTTTCAATGCTTGTAGTATAACTAATGTCCTTAAAAATCAAACTAAAGCTTCATTTTCACTATTTTTTATTGGTACTGAAGTCACATAACAAATATATTCAAATCTGAAACCCTACGCTACACTAAAATAAAAGTAGAAGTTCTATAGGCTAGGCCTAACATAAAAGTCAATTTTATAAGCACTCCAAAACATACTATAAAGAGCTCCTATATGTGTCCATTATAGAAAATATCACTTTTCAATTAAATACACTAATACAGTTAAATTTGCTCTATGAGATGACTATCACCCGTCAAACTAGAGAGAATGTGTAGTATAACTTTTTTTTTTTTTTTATCACGATCGACATAATGTTGGCTGCCCTAAAACTAACGTGAGGTATTGCTTCAGGACGACCGACGTCGCTATAAAACTCACACTGCCATGTTGTGACTCAGCCCAAAATTAATCAAGAGCCGAGTCACAACGCGACGTGGCGTCCACCGTTAGTTGAATCCCGGAGTGGGATCCGTTGCCCAGGTCGCACCACGTGGAGGTGTGGATAGGACTTCGCTGTAGGTTGACATATAATTCACAAGAAAGAAAAAGATAAAGAAAACACAAAGAGCGCAGGAGATACCCTAGTTGGCTTCTCCGGCCCTCCCGACTTTCTCGCACAGTCTTTGGCCTCATGGTTTTACGGGTGTCCTTCCCTGCGTTTTACCTGCCGCCAGGGGATTTGTTTTCGGTGTTGCCTTCACCTAAGTGGTCGCTTTACCAGGCACCGGGCCCACCCGCCCGTTAACAATTTCTCTTAAACTTCTTCTTTCTCGCCTTAATCTCAAATACGTGGGGTCGGCCACCCTTATCCTAAACTTCCACTTGACACGATCTCCCACATCATTTACGCTCACATCAGCTGTCCTCAAATCGCATTCAATAGCTCCCTCCATCTCTTTTTTGGTCTTCCTCTACCTCTTCTTCCTTCAACATTCATTTCTATAGCTGTTCTTACAGATTTCGATTCCTCATTCCTCATAACATGACCAAACCATCTACGTCTATTTTCTCTCATATTATCGACGATTGACGCTACATCTATACTCCCTCTAATATGCTCATTCCTTATCCTATCTTTTCTAGTCTCTCCACTCATCCATCTAAGCATTCTCATCTCTGCTACACTCATTCTCTGCTCTACTTTCTTATCAACCGCCCAACACTCTGAAACATACATCATAGCTGGCCTTATTACAGTCTTGTAGAATTTACCTTTCAGCCTCATTGGAATTCTTTTATCGCATAAGACGCCAGACGCTTCTCTCCACTTCAACCACCTGCACTTAATTCTGTGTCTTGCATCTTCGTCAATACCACCACTCTTTTGCACAACTGACCCTAAATACTTAAAACTATCCACCTCTCCAAACACGTCCTCGACAATTGTCACTAACCTACTAATTTCACCTACCTCGTGTTCCCCGTTGTCAAACTCGTACTCTAAATACTCTATCTTACTTCTACTTATTCTTAAAGCCTTTTCTTCAAGAGCTGTTCTCCACACCTCTAGCCTTTGATTAATTTCGTCCCTATTTTCTCCTATTAACACTATATCGTCAACAAACAACATGCACCACGGCACCTCTCCTTGTATTTCTCTAGTAATTTCATCCATCACTATAGAGAATAAGTAAGGGCTTAAAGAACCTTGGTGCACTCCTACTCTTATCGGAAAACCTTCTGATATTCCTCCTACACTATTTACCCTGGTACAAGTGCCATCATACATATCTTGTATTATATTAATGTACCTTTTCGGAACTCCTTTTCTCATTAATGGCCACTTTAAAACCTCTCTCGGTACTCTGTCATACGCTTTCTCAAAATCTATAAATACCATACACAGCTTTTTCTTCTTTTTCCTAAACTTTTCTATA